TAAATCATTTATATTATTTTTAGAAAATATTATTTTCTAATTAAATTATTATTACGGCTGATGGCTGAAGCTTAAAATTCCAGGATACATTTTTAAGTTTTTTTTTATAGTTAGCTTGGGATTTAGTATTAGTTTTGATAATTAAAATGTATAAATAGATTTGATAGGGTTTATATTTTTTTTTAAATTGAGGTCTCTAATTTCAAGCTTCAGCTGCGATAATTATTAAAAAGTTTACTGTATTTAAAAGTTAATTATTTAATAAAGATTTAATCAGGTCATTCAATTACTAATTGATGATATCTCAAATAACAAATATTTAATATATAAGGCACTCATTAAACAAATTAAAAAAAAATAAATATCTAAATTAAAAAAAAATTGAAAAAATTAAAATTATACTTCAGTTTAATTTTAAATGAAAATTCAATCTCTTTAATAATAATGAAAGATATAGAATTTATAAATATGGAAGACATAGATGATATAGAAGATACAAGTAATACAGAAGATGATGATACAGAAGATACAAGCGATACTGAAAATGTAGATAATATAGAAAATATTAGTAATATAGAAGCTGCAGAAGTTATGAACATAGAACCAAATACTGTTACTAAAATACTATCTTCATATAGCCCAACAGCAAGTGGTAGTAAAAAAAACAGATCATCACCTATATGGAACTATATAGATGAACTAATGATAGGAAATCAAGTTATTGCAAGAATTTGTAAGGTTGAAGGATGTGAAAAAAAATATAGTGCTACAACATCTACTGGTGTTCTAAATGCATATCTTAGAAATAAACATAATATTATACTTAGTTTAAAAACAAATCGCTTACATCAATCTCAGGAACCATATGATAAAAATAATATTAAACGGATACAAGAATGCCTTAATGCTACTGTTGATCTTATAATTGGTGCATAACTTCTATTTTCATTTATTAAAAATCATTAGTTTTGTAAAGCAGTAAATGTTTATGATCCAAGATATAAATTACCATCAGTTAAATATTTAAAAAATATAATAATATCTCGATTTGAAACTCGTTATATATATGTTGCAAAAGAGCTTAAAGAACTTACAACCAAAGTTGCACTTACTGCTGATATTTGGACATCAAGTTCGAACCAAGCATATCTTGGAATTACTATACATTATATAAATAATGAATAGAAGATGTGTCGTTTTTTACTTGATATTATCCATTTTAAATATAGTCATAGTGCACTACATATAAAAGAAAAGCTCAATAAAATCTGTGAAGAAATGAATATTGCTAATAAAGTAATTTTATTAACAACAGACAATGCATCTGCAATGGTTTTATGTGGAGAAATTATTGAAGAAGAATGGAATACTCTTGGATTTTGCCATTATCATTGTGCTGCTCATATTCTTAATATTGCAGTAAAAAATGGTATAGAATTTCGGGCCACAGTAATTGTCAAAGTTCGAAAGTTCATAAATTGTGTTCATAATTCAACAATTTTATGTGATAGGCTTCAAGATTTTTGTAATATAACTAGAAAAAGCTATAATACATTAAGTATTGATATAGTTACATACTAGAATAGCACTTATCATATGCTTTACCGATTTAAAAATCTGCGTAATGAACTCAATCTTCTTAAAACTGCATATCCTGAACTTGATAATAATTACCCTAATGAAGAGGAGTGGCAAAATATTAATAGTATATTTTTTTGCTAGAACCAATGACCATGCAACAGAAATTCTTTCAATAAGTTCATTTCTAACTATTGCTGATGTTCGGTTAACTTTTCTTGGAATTATTCGCTATATAGAACTATTTATAGCCAATCAATCATATTCAGAAGATGAACACACAATGGCATATTTAATTAAAAATAAATTAGACAAATATTGGGCTATTCTTAACTCTGATGAATCAGCCAAAATAGCTTCAATCCTTGATCTGACATCTAAACTAACTACATTTACACATTTTAGTGAGAAAAATATTGCTCTTATTAGTTTATGAAGCATAATGAATCAGTATGAACCACCAGCTTCATCCTCTACATCAGTAATTAATGATAAAAGAAGATGGTTTATATCATTAATTTCACAACAAACTATTATACTACTTGCAGAAGAGTTAGATGCATATTTATCTATACCACCTATATCACCATCTATTAAAAATGCTTCTCTTCAATGGTGGGCTGCTAATAGATATAATTATCCAACACTTGCAAAGATAGCACAAGATTATCTTGCAATCCAAGCAACAAGTGTTTCTTGTAAAGAAGCATTTTCAATAGCTTCAAGAACAATTTCTAAACTTCGTAATTGTCTTAAACCAAATACTGCTCGTGCATCACTTTGCTTAAAAAGTTGGATGGAAAATGTTATTGGTATACAAAATAAGTATTTTTTTAATTTAAGTTTTTTTAAAAAAATAAAAACTTTAAAAAGTATTAAAAAAATACCAATTTTAATAAATTAGAAATAAAATACTATATATATTATTTTTCTATTTTTAGTTTCTTAATTGTTAGAAAAATTTAGTTAGTGCTTATTTAGTAATCTTTTCAAAAATAATAAATAAAAAAAGATTATTACTTTAGATAGAAAGAATATTTATTATATGGTCAATATATTCAACATAGTCAATATAGTATATATAGCACACATAGTATATATAAATAATATAGTAAATATAAATATATTAAATATAAGTGATATAATAAATTATAGTTATTGTATAGATATGTGTGTGTAACTAACTTATATATGCATATCTATATAATAACTATATTATCGTATGGGTCTGACGTAACAATCTGTATGACACTTAACAATAATAATAATTAAACTATAAAAAAAAACTTTTGTATTGAATAAACCTTCGCTGCCCAACAATTGCAATTTAAAAAAAAACACTAACAAATTACAATATTAAAAAACAACCAGCTAATTGAAGTCTTCATTTCTTCCAATTACATTTTTTCACTCCAGCTAATTACAATATTAAAACACACATGACTACTTAGTTTTCATTCTAGCCAATTATAATTTTTTAAAAATCTTCGTTCCGGCTAATTACAATATTAAAAAATACAGTATACAATTAATTGAAGTCTTTGTTTCAACCATTTAAATTTTTTTAAAAAAAACACATTTAACTACTTGTAAAAAAAAAACAATTTATAATATATCTTTGGCATCCAATTTATTGCAATTATAGAAAAAATACCCAGTTAGATAAAAGTCTTTGCCTAATCTATTACAATTATAAAAAAATACCTAAAAATAAAAAAATACCCAGATAATAAAAGTCTTCACCCAATCTATTACAATTATAAAAGAATACCTAGCTAATAAAAGTTTTCGCCCAATCTATTACAATTATAAAAATACCTAGCTAATAAAAGTCTTCATCCAGTCTATTACAATTATAAAAAATATTCAGTTAATAAAAGTCTTCACCAAATCTATTATAATTATAAAAAATACCCAGTTAATAAAAGTCTTGCTTAATCTATTACAATTATAAAAAAATATCCAGTTAATAAAAAGTCTTTGCCCAATCTATTACAATTATAAACAATATCCAGTTAAATAAAAGCTTTGTCCAATTATAAAAAAATACTAAACTCATATATTAATACATAGTTTTATAGCAAAAACTGAATTCAGTTTAACTAAATTCACACCGGTCTATATGAAAATCATGTGTCACATGATTTTCATATAGACCGGTGTGAATAAGCTTTTAAAAAAAGCACGGGTTGTTACATAAGACCCATATGATAAATATAGTTATTATATACTTTATAAACAT